GCATGCCTTTCTTTCCCGGTTAACCAGATTTCGGAAGAACTTGAATTGGGCAGAGTCGCCGCCATATGATTTGAACGCTTTTTGTCTTTTCAAAATCATTGACTTCAGCTTATGGTCAATCCAAGGAGCGTCCGCACTACAGGTGCGAATTTCTTTCTCAGGCATCAGAATATCAAGCCCTGTATGTACAGCAGTGTGGAAAATCTCCCACTTTTCCTGGCAACTATCCGTAGGAGCGAACAATAAAGGCCAATCAATAGAGGTTAGATATCTCCCCAAGGCAGCCTTGTTACTCTCACGTAAGTCACGCCTTTTAACAACGTGCTTTCTGTTTACATCACGTTTACCATCTTTTGGCGACGCAACAACAGCGTTGTGATCCGACAACCCGAATGGAGGGTAGGCTTGTGGCGGATTATAGTATTCTTGCATGTTAGTGAGCACCAAGTCTAATATGGCATCCTTCCGGGTCTGAACTTGAACTATTTGCTGGAGACGAAAGTGATTCAGCAAGCCCTTAATATCCAAGCGGTTGAAATCTCCTGTGACGACCAATCCACAGTTGGGATATCGCGTCTCCGCTAGGACGAGGGACTGGAACAAATGCTCCCGGATAGATGTCCCATCGGCCTTGGGGGGGTGATAGATCACTGCCGCGATTATGCAGGAAAACCCCCGGGGGAGGCGGTTTGGTCTTAGATGGAGCCACAATGTCTCATGATTATCACAGCACTTTAAATCGTTCAGTTGTTTATATTTGCACCGTTTTTCTTGAATATAGACACACACACCACCGTGTTCTAGTGTCTTCCTGTCCTCACGCACAATAGCAAACCCGGGGATGTCAACAACGGTGTCCAACACAGAGTCCTTTAGCCAGGTTTCCGTAACGAACGCAAGGTTGATATGATTACGAGTGATAAACTCGCTAACTTCATCCATTTTGGGGGCTAAAGACATGACATTCGCTAACATGATCTTAGGAACTTTGGGTGACCATTCAGTACTGGCTGCTCTGTTTTCCTTGGTGCAATCTATAACAATGCAGTTGTTTAGATTGCTACGTGGAAAGGTGTCATTTTGAATATTTAATATGTTCGCCAGTTGGTTATGTAAATGAGGTTTCCTGTGAAGGAAGTTCTTGGCAAAGAAACACCCATTAAAGTTCGGAAATTGCTGAGTTATCAAAAGCGAGTTTCTGATACTGACACGCCGGCTTTATCTCTACGGGACACAAGGTTAGAAAAAACCAACACATATATTTATCTGAACATTCTGGAGATATTGAGTATTGAGATATTATTGTATATTGAGATTACCAAAGTAAAACAAGAAAACCTTCTCGCATGTTGACCATCCTGGCTGCGCGGGTAAAAAATATCAACATTGGTAAAACTACCATAACCAAAATTTTATAATTTCTTGCCATAAAGTATGAAGGGAATGATTTTAAAAAATTTGAGGATACATTCAGGTAGGAAAAATATTTTTTAAAAAATGACAAAAAAGGAAACATCTATCTCGTTAAATTTTTTCTGTTGTTGAAGGTTTATATGTACTGTATTCTTTCAAGTAATTTTCAATTCCAAATTGAAAATCTAATCCAGTAAAAATCTTTCCGATTTAAGCCGCTCACTCGGCTGGATCGAGTGATAGGGGGGGTGCATGAGGGCGAAAAAACGGGTGAGCACAAGGGATGGGAAAGAAGAACCTAGCTCCTTCATAGTCCTACAAAAAAAATTCAGCCACTTACCGTCCACTAAGAAAGAAGGGACAGCTTCCGCTTTCATCTTCTCTCCTGATAAAAATCACAGATATAGGATTCTTCAGGAAAAGTCAAAATTGTTCTTCAAAACCAAAACATATCAATAACATAAATGCCATCTGTTGAAGTTAGAAGTCCGAGGAAATCTTCTTCCTGAGCAAAAAGCATTATTCAGGAAAGTTCTTTCAACTAACAGGTAGATACAGCGAGTTGCAGAGGTCAATGTGAATGACATGAATGCACGCGCAAGACGCGTCGTGTAGAATACATTCCCACTAAAATGGTCCCGTTCTATTCACAATGTCTACCCAGTAGAAGTTCCAGAAATAATAATGTTGATGTAGATTCAACACATTTTATGTCGTTTAATTTGTTACACAAACACCAATTTAGCAATGCTTTGAGTTGAACTTAAATGTTAACGGCTAACGGTGCTAATTTTGATTCACCCTCTAATGAATGTAAGTGGAAGTCACTTTCAAACAGAACACTGCGACCAGATTCAGTTCTAATTAATTGTGTGGCATGTAAAAAGTAAATGATCAGTGAGTTGAACGCCAGCATAGCACGATCAATGGATTAACCGATGATCAATTGGTTAAAAAAATTGATAGAGCTTGTCTTGAATTAAACAAGAAAGACAAGAGGCGCTCATGCATCTATAGAAAGTCTTAGTTTTTGCTGATTCTTTTCTCACGTTTGGGGAAATTCTTTTAACATTCAGGACATAACGTAATGAATAACGCCGCAGAAATCCTAAAAAAAGTCCAGATTGGTTTGGATGTCGCCATATTTCTCCTAAACACTGATCGTGGCCTTCAAGCGACCGAGTTATGTAATGAATGTTTATTTCTACTTCACAAGCTTGACTCTGGTATTGATCTTGATCATGATATCGCTGATGTATTATTCAGTGTGTTCTACGCCACCTCTGGTTACACAAATGCAGTACGATACACCATAAAACTTATTGACAAGTTTTTCCTCGCTGTAGACCTAACCATACAACTGGTAGACAAATACGAGGCAAAATGTTGGTTTGCAGAGGCAATGCAACTTTGTAAAAGCGCTCTTACCATCGTGAAAGCGATTGGCTACCGTAGAGAAGAGGCAATGGCTTACGCGAGACTTGGATCTCTTTTTTTTATCCTCTGCGAATATCTAAAGGCGAAAGAATATTATGAGAAAGCACTTGCCATCGCGATAGACATCGGCGACAGAAAAGGAGAAGGAACAACATACCAGAACCTCGGAGGTGTGTTTAAATCCCTTGGCGAATATCAGAAGGCCAAAGAATATTACGAGAAAGCACTTGCCATCGCGATAGAAATCGGCAACAGAAATGGTGAAGGAAGAATATACGGGAACCTCGGAGTTGTGTTTGAATCCCTTGGCGAATATCAGAAGGCCAAAGAATATAACGAGAAAGCACTTGCCGTCGCGATAGAAATCGGCGACAGAAATGGTGAAGGAAGAATATACGGGAACCTCGGAGTTGTGTTTCAATCTCTTGGCGAATATCAGAAGGCCAAAGAATATTACGAGAAAGCACTTGCCATCGCGATAGAAATCGGCGACAGAAATGGAGAAGGAACAACATACAGGAACTTCGGAGTTGTGTTTCAATCCCTTGGCGAATATCAGAAGGCCAAAGAATACTACGAGAAAGCACTTGCCATCGCGATAGACATCGGCGACAGAAAAGGAGAAGGAACAACATACGGGAGCCTCGGAGCTGTGTTTCAATTCCTTGGCGAATATCAGAAGGCCAAAGAATATTACGAGAAAGCACTTGCCATCGCGATAGAAATCGGCGACAGAAATGGTGAAGGAGCAACATACGGGAACCTCGGAGTTGTGTTTCAATCCCTTGACGAATATCAGAAGGCCAAAGAATATTACGAGAAAGCACTTGCCATCGCGATAGACATCGGCGACAGAAAAGGAGAAGGAACAACATACGGGAACCTCGGAGCTGTGTTTCAATTCCTTAGCGAATATCAGAAGGCCAAAGAATATTACGAGAAAGCACTTGCCATCGCGATAGAAATCGGCGACAGAAAAGGAGAAGGAACAACATACGGGAGCCTCGGAGTTGTGTTTCGATCCCTTGGCGAATATCAGAAGGCCAAAGAATATGACGAGAAAGCACTTGCCATCGCGATAGAAATCGGCGACAGAAATGGAGAAGGAACAACATACGAGAACCTCGGAATTGTGTTTCAATCCCTTGGCGAATATCAGAAGGCCAAAGAATATTACGAGAAAGCAATCGCCATCGCAAAAGGAATAGGAGACAGAGGAAATGAATGTTCAGCATACTTAGCCCTTGGAAACGTTTACTGCAGGCTTAGGAAATATCGTCAAGCTAAAGAATATTTCGACAAAGCACTCAGCATCAGTACAGCAATTGGACAAAGAAGAGATGAAGGATGCGGTTCCACAGGTTTGGCAGTAGTGTTCGCTTTTATCAATGACAATCAGAAAGCAAAAGAACATTCTCAGAAGGCGCTCACCATCAGCAAGGAATGTGGCGATAAAGCTCTGGAAGGACAAAGTTACCTCAACCTCGGAAATCTATCTAGATCGCTTGGTGAATACGACGAGGCAGAAGATTACTTAGAGAAGGCTCGCTCCATAAGCAGTGGAATTGGAAACATAATGACTGAGTTTGGAAGCCTTCTCAGCATCACACAGTTAAAGGTATCGCAATCACAGTTTGTGGAGGCAAAGGAACATCTCCTTCAATGTATTGGAAAATATGAACAATTGAGGAGTTTTCTTAAAGGAAACAAAGAGTTTGAAATATCTCTGTTAGAAGAGCACGGTAGTTTTCCTTATCAGTTGCTCACTACTTTGCTTTGCAATACTGGCAAATTTCAAGACGCTCTTTATGTCGAGGAGCTGGGACGAGCGAGAGTCCTCGTAGAATGCATGGCAGAGAAGTTCTCCGTTGAAAGCCACATCTCGGCTGATCCAAAATTATGGTTTGGGATTGAAAACATCGTGAAAAAAGAGAGTAACTGTGTCTTTTTGTACATTTCGTATTGTGAGCGGCAAGTTTGTCTCTGGGTTTTGAAAGCAAATGGAGACATTTCCTTTCGAGTCACCGACAAAGTGAAAGACAGCACTCTCATTCCTGAGAATGTTTACAACGTGGAGGGAATTTTCAAAAAGAGCGCCGCCAGCTTTGGCGTTTTATTCACAGCGAATTGCGAAGATCGATCTTTGGATGACAACGTAACGACATCTCTTTTTGAAGAGAGCCGAGCAACTTTACGCGGTGACGAAAGCAAAGAAACCGAAAGAATTCATCATTTGTGTTACAAATGGATCATCGCTCCTGTGGTAGATTTACTTACAGAGCCTGAAATCATCATTGTACCGGATCGTTTCTCGTATCGAGTCCCATTTGCTGCCTTACGTGATGAATCAGCCGGAAAGTATCTATCAGAGACTTACAGAATCCGTATCGTCCCTTCTCTGACGACCCTCCAGCTCATTCATGATTGTCCAGCGGATTATCATAGTGAAACTGGTGCACTTGTAGTGGGTGATCCTACGGTTGGCCAGGTGTATTACGATGGACGTGTCACTAACTTTGTATCATTGTTCTGTGCTAGAAAGGAAGCAGAGATGGTTGGTCGACTGCTGGGAGTTCAACCTTTGTTAGGAGAGTCTGCAACTAAGCAGGCAGTGCTTCAAGCGATACCTTCAGTGAGTCTCATACATGTTGCCGCGCATGGAAATGCCGAAAGAGGAGAGATTGCCCTGTCGCCTAAATGTCCTAAATGTATCACCAACAGTTTTCCACAAGAAGAAGACTACCTCTTGACAATGTCCGACATTTTCGGAGTTCAAGTGCGAGCAAAACTGGTTGTATTGAGCTGTTGTCACAGTGCGCGTGGATTGGTCAAAGCCGAAGGAGTTCTTGGAATCGCTCGTGCATTCTTAGCATCCGGTGCACGTTCAGTGTTGGTAGCATCGTGGGCCATAGAAGACGAAGCAACGGAGCAGCTCATGAATCATTTCTACAAACACCTTGTACGTGGAGAAAGTGCCAGTGAATCTCTTCATCAGGCCGTAAAATGGTTGAGAAGCAACGGCTTTCCCAAACCTAATCAATGGGCTCCATTTGTGCTGATGGGAGACGACGTGACGTTGGATTTTACATACATCGGGTAGGTCTAGTTCTGATAAGAAATTTCCATTAGCTATCTTAGGGACTGTTAAGCGAGGGGGGGGGGGGGGGAGGGTTGGGGGCTGCTTGAGGATTTTGGTTGTCTCCCAGTAAAATTCACCTGAACCCCTGTAAGGCTCCATAATATTCTTTAGACCCCCCTCCCCCCCTCTCCCCCACAGAACCAGAAGATTTTGATGAATCATTTTCAAAATTGGCCTTGAATCAAAGTTGCTTTTGTGTGTGAAATCTTCAGAAATTATTCTTCCAACGGAAGCCCAAGAGGATGATAGACAGGCCCAAGTAAATGCAACGAAAGCAACTTGAGAGATATAAGCTACCTAATGACTTTGAAGTTGATAGCTATTTGAGCTGTATGTCTGGCTACTTTGAATCTTTTAGAAATTCTGATCTGTATAATGCTTTAGAGTTGAAATTGTATTATGTTTGTTTCAGGAAAGAGGAACACAAGGAGGACAACAATGAAGCAGGGAAGAAACAGAGTAACAACTGATCCTGCACAAAGATTATCTTTCCTGCACATTGTTTTTGAATGGACACTGGTATTAGTTTGAGCAGAAATTTTTCATTTTATTGTAGATAAATGGTTATTTTAGACCTCAGACCTATTAAAGGGACTAAAATGAATCAGCATGAAAAAATTGAAAGCATGAAATTTAAGTAAATGTTTATTAATATGAGAATTTTGGTAAAGTTTCCTTTGGATCATAATCGGGAAACTCTAAAACTAAACACTAACTTGTTTTGTGAGTTATGTAAAAAACAGAAGAAAAGGAGAACAAGCATTGCAAAAAATACTACTGCAAAAGTCAAACAGATGAGTGAAAACAATTCCTAAGATATCAATGAAACAATCTCCCAGAATTCAGAGCAGAAAGATAACTGATATTATTGAAAAGATAGTTGGAATACCTGAAGGAAAACAAAATCACAAACCAGGAATGCATGGCTTTGTTGTGTACGATGTTGTACAAGTGGCAGTTTTCTATGCATTTTTTCCCTCTACCTGAGGGGGTTGGGTGGGGAGGTCAGTATTGTCATATTTTTGTCTTTTAGAACTTTCAGGAAAAGGTAAATGCTAAAGAAGTTGTTGATATGATGTTTTAAAATGGTTCATCAAAAGGATCTGTTAGGAATAATATAATTAGTGATGAGATTTTGTAACTGATGGCAGACTTTTGTTCCTAATGGTCAGTGGCTCCTAAAAACTTATTGATTCCTAGGAGGCCTACTTATTCTTTGGCCAACTTGAAGGCTTTTGTTCCTGTGGTCGCTTTACATTTTTCTCTTATATGAAGTACTTTTGCATTTTTTATTTTCCTCTGATTTTTCAGTTTTGTTAATTAAGTGAAATTTATTATTTTTCTAAGATAAGAGTAAATAAATAAAACTGAGAATGGAATTGGATTGTTGGATTTAATTCTCAGATTTATTTTGCAGCCTTAGACTTGGTCTGACAAAATACACTAAACAATTGTTTTCTGCAGAGTTTTATCCACAAGTTCACAATCGTGTCACATTGATTTTCTTTTTTCACTACCTCTTTTAATGTTTTGGCCTTCATTAATCAATCCTTGTGTTTTGCCATTGATTATCATTTTTACATTGACTCATGGCCAACTGTATTCAACAGCTCGGAAACTTCATCACCAAACTACCCCTGTATTGGAATGATCACATTGAATTTTGATGTAGTATGGGGGCTGAAGAGCAACAGTCTGTGGAGAGAGATTTGTGCTGAGGACTGTGTGCCGTTTGAAAGTGAAATGATGGTGAAGGTGGGGGAGAAAAGACAAGCCATAGTTCCTCCACCCTCCCTCCTCTAGGTTTTCCTTAGGTTCTCCTATCCCTGATGCTCCTCCTTATCTCACTTCATACCAGCCAACTTTCACAATTCATTTTCAGCACTGAACCATTTAGCTACCAAAAGTGATGAAAATGCAACTTCCCCTAAGTGTAATGAAAAAACAACCCTTTTTTCTCTATGACAAATCACCAAGACCAACAAATGGATGAAACACAAAACCTCTCTGAGTTTTTAGGAGAAAAGAAATGTCTCTAAGTGTAATGAAGACCCATATACATTTCACCCTTTAACTCTCATGGAAATCATGACTGAATTTCTAATTATAATATCAAAACAATATCAAGAAGACAAGCGATGAGAACAAAGAGAATCAACACCATCATCATCTTCATTATCACAAAGTAAGATCTCCATGTACACCTCAGCAGTCTTTTTAGGTAAAAAAACAAAACAAAAACAAAAAAAGTGGAAAAATCATTATTATCATCATCACTGTTATTATCACAAAAGAGATGTTTTCTATGAAAAATTAGTGAGACCAAATAATGGATATAAAAAAAATCCTATCTGAGTTTTTACAAGAAAGTGACAATGTGTAATGAAGACCCCATCAGATTTAACCTTTTAACTTTCAAGAGTGAAAATTTACCATGATAATAATATCAAAACTAAATCAAGGAGACAAGTGATGAGAATAAAGAAAAGTATTAATTAGGGGATTATTGGTTGATCCAATAACAAATTCTCAAAACTAACATCATAGGAGTTTTAGGGTAGAAAGTAAGGAGAATTACTAATGAGATCTTGGGAGTGTAATGGTTGAAAGAATCTGCTCTTTGACTCAATCAACTCTCATTGTATTTCAAAAGCATATGACAAAGGAAATATTTTAGCCTCAGGCAAGTTAAAGAATCCTTCATATAAACACTCAAGCACTTTGAGGAGAAATATAACCCCCAATTATTCTATGACAAAGCCAAAGTCCTAAAAGTTAGATAAGTGACAATGTATGATGAACACCCTGATCATCATCATCATCAAATTTGACATACATAAGACAAAGGAAATGTCTCAGGTCAAGGAGATTTAAAGAATCCTTTAGATGAACAGTCAAACACTTAAAGGAAAGATTTCCCTATAACCCCATACTTTAAAGATGTAGTCCTAAAATCAGTGCACTGTTTATGCCAATGTTTCTATGTTCTTATAACTGGGTGTATAATGATCTATGGGTTACACAGAAATCTTGCCTACTCTGACACAGAGCAACACATGTACAGATGACTGGCCTCAATTCAAATCATTTCAAACCTCATAATTGTTTAGCCATGTGAGACCTTGAGATGTCAAGGTTACATATATATCACATGTAAGTTATCCCTGCCAAATTGGACTAGTTTTACCCTGTAACTCCCATGAGTGACCAAGACAGAATTTCTCCTTACAATATCAGTACAATATCAAGCAGACAAGTGATGAGAACAAAGAAAAATATTAATATAGGAATTACTAGTTGATCCAATACCAAATTCTCCAAACTTTCATCACAAGAACTATAAGGCTGACAGTAAGGAGAATTACTAATGAGATCTTAGGAGTTTAAGGGTTAAGGTGATTCCTCAGTAATTAGCCCTGCACATCATGTACTGTGCATAATATCACATAATCAAGCCAATAAGCATATATGCATTCCAAGAACATTGTATTGTTTATCAATCAATGGACCAGGTAAAGAGGTGCTATGGTCTTTACCTCTTAAATGAGCAAAGTGACCATGTTTTATTTCCCATAGTTTCAAATTATGACCCTGAAAGGAATGACTCTAAGAACATTTTGAGTCGATATCGTTTAAATTTGCGTGATATTCCCTCAAATTATATATTAAATTGTTCCATACACTCGAGACTTACTACCTATCAAGCTTTTTTCCAGCAGCAGCAAAATGTACAGTGAACCGATGAAATGACGGGCATGATTAGTGCCAGTACAGGCATAAATGGGGTAAGTTTGGTGCATATATCTCCTAAACAAGCGAGATGACCTATCTCTCTTTTTGTATTTCTCGAAACAGACATTGGTAAGGAACATTTAAGGAAAGTTTACCAAAAATTGTCCCAGAACTTCTTTTCTGAAGAATCACCTTGAAGGTAGTTAAATAATTAAATCAAGTGAAATCAATTTCAGAAGTCGTATGTTGTCACTCCAGTCATTTGTAATAGACCGTCTTATTATTCATCCACGACATTAGGTCATCGACTCAAAAAATTAAGCAAGAAAGTACAAAGCGTACCTAGATTGAAACACTATGACTTTTAATATTCAGAGCTGTACACTGAAACTTTCTTTCTTACCTCATTCTGGAACAATTCTGTTAGAAAGGGAATGTGCCTGAAAAAGTGTTTAGCGAAAAGTGTTCACCAGATGACATCGTACAGAAGATTATTCTGAATTAAGCCGTTTTGAAAATTCGAGTTAGTAGTGGTTACAACGAAATTGCTGCGTTAGAGCTGCGTTAGTAAACAAGAAATGGCTTCATTTTAGAATCCAGTTTCCTCACGGCATGTTTCAGGACAGGGTTGCACTGGACTGGATCCAGATCTGTTCAGATATGTCCTCTAAGGCCCGTGAGAGGAACATTTTTAATATAAAGATTGCCAGTACTCTGAAATACCATAAACGACTGTTTTACGGTATTGGGGTGGACACCAGAGAGCCGAAGGATGAGAGGGGGACCAAAGACCACTTGGGGAAGGACTGTCGAAAGAGAGAGAGAGGTAAGGTAGGGTAGAAGAGTTGGAATGTGGCTAGTGCGGCGGCACGCGACGGGAGGGAGGGGGGGGGGTTGGGCGGACAATGCAACGGCCTTATGCGCCTCCTGGCGCAACGAGCGATGATGATGATGATGATGATATACAGTTCATGGTCAACGTAGTTCCGGTAATAAGGATCGATTTTCCCTGTTTTCTTAGCCGTCTCACCAAAAAAACAGAAACAGATCGGTGTCAGAAACAACAATTCGTTTCATTTAACAACTAAAGTTCTCTGGGTCAGAGCAGGACCTATGAAACACTGAAGCACAATGATCCACAAAAGACACAAAAGGTTAGCTTATGAAGTCATCTTGATGGAATGAAAGTATGTTGTGGATTACGAACCTGTTAATGGGTAAGTTGATTT